ATATATATATATATATATATATATATATATATATATATATATTTTTTTTTTTTTTTTTATATATATATATAATATCATGCATGGAAAATAAGTATTGAACACATCAAGTTCATAAAGGAGCTGTTGACATGGAATTGAACCAGATTTTGTCACCAGATTAAATACTGAAATGTATTTAATACTTAATATGAAAGGCTTTTTTGGTGATAACTGTTTTTCATAGACTACAACAGAGTGTAAAAATCTTGATGGGTCTGTGGGTCTTGCCTATCAAATCTGATCTTTAATTTGTATCCTCTATTTAAATCCAATTGCCTCAAGGCAGGCGGTTGGCTGGGTCATTCTACAGCTTGATTTTCTTTCTCTGAAAGAATTTGGAAGTTTCTCCTTGGCTGGGTTTTAAATCATTGTCTTGCTGAGATCTCCACCCTGGTTTCATCTTCATCGCCTGATAATGAAGATGTTGGACTGAAGCAGCTAATATTCATTTACACTGCCTTTCTACACCTCCCTTTCCTCATGTGTTCAATACTTTTTCCCTGCATCATTTCATTTCATTACACATAACTTAATCTGTAAACTAATTAGATTTGTTTTCTTTGGATATATGGATTTATTTGGTTGTTACAAAATCCGGGGAACAGTTAACAGCACTTTTATAATAAAATAAATGAAATAAAATAAATTATAATATATAATATAAAATGAAATATATAAATATTAATGTATGAAATATGTTTTCTGAGAAAAATGGCGGCGTGTTCAATACTTGTTTATATATATACACACACACACACACACACACACACACACAGAATCATACTATATTGCTTTTATAAAATGGTAATTGCACATTATAAATATTAAAGTAAAAAGGTATGTATTCATTGAATTTTTTAAAGTGAAATCATAATATTGTAATTAAATTTAATAAAAGAAAAAAAATTAATTAAACACTTGCCTAAAGTGACGTTTTAGTAGTTTGAGACAATACATTCATTCATTCATTCCTTCATTTATTCATTTTTTTTTTGGCTTAGTCCCTTTATAAGAGCGTACTCGCACTATGTACTGTTGCGTTTAAAATCAGGCCAAAGCACGCTAGTCCCCCTCCCGACACCCCCGACGGCCCGTAATTACATTACATTCGGGCCTGGCCACGCTTACGTCATCGATGATGCGCTGTTCAGTAAGCGCTTTCGCTCAGCACCTTGGAGATTTCTTTAGTTAAATCGTTTTAGACGTTTCATACGCAGTGACACCCAATCAAATATTTTGCGAACAGATCAGATACTTTTGACACTCATAAGCAATCATAAAGTCCTCGTGCTGCAGGAATTAGGGTGTTTGCTAAAGGTGCAGCTTTTGTGCAGTGAGTAGTTTTCGTCTTTAATAATGTATGACAGTTTGCGTTCATTGAACAGTAATAATAATTAATAAATACATGTGAAACAGTCCCTTAAAAGTCACGTCTCATCGGGCCTGGGCATGGTTTGGATAGCATAGTGTGAGTACGCCCTTAATCTGGGGTCGCCCCAGCGGAATGAACCGCCAACTTATCCAGCACATGTTTTACGCAGGGAATACCCCTCCAGCTACAACCAATCACTGGGAAACACTCATACACTCTCATTCACACACATACACTACAGACAATTTTAGCTTATCCAATTCACCTGTACCGTATGTCTTTGGACTTGTGGGGGAGCACCCAGAGGAAACACACCAAAGTGGGGAGAACATGCAAACTCCACACAGAGACCTTCTTGCTGTGAGGTGACAGCACTACCTACTGCACCACTGTGTTGCAGAGACAAAACATTGTACAGGACATTCTATATATTGAAATAAATTCCTACAATCACAGAAAAAAGTACTCTTTTTCAAACAGTACAAACTACTTTACAGTGTGTCAAAACTTCAACATTTAAAGTTGTCAGTGTAGTTATGTCATTGCAATAAAAACAACTCACTTCTCACTTTTACTTACTAAAATCTTCTTCACCAATGGGTAAAATCTTTTAGTTTGGAGTATTATGAAAATAAATAGTTTGAAAAAGTTTTAGGGCCGCACCGTGACCCCAAAATGTATCCTTAATATGTCATTAAATGTTTCTCATTCTAAATATGCCTGCTTGGATTTTGTTATATAAGCTATCATTACACTGAATGACATTTTAGTGCTTGTTATTTGTATGGCAAAAAAAAAGTCTGAAAGTCATTATTTGTTTGCTCAGAGCTCACTTGTGATGGCAAATGTCCCTGTGTTTCACCTGGAGATGTAGATAGAGATCCATGTCTTGCGTGTCATTTGTCTGGTGGCTTCTCTCTCGCTTAGCCATCCATCACATCTCATGCGTTTATCATTATCTGGCCAACCATCTGTCCCTGAGCTACTCCTGATGAGAAAAAAAAGAATAAGAGAGAGATAAATGTCACAAGACCAAAGAGCGTTTCACTGAAGTCTTCTTACAGTTCCTTAATCATGGCTTCGTATCAGATATAAGATCAAATTGAACTCGGACGAGGTGCAGTACGGGGGTCACGGGAGGCTTCTGCAGGACACGGAGTTCTTCACAGAGCCAATGACTTTCAATGGACGAGACCAGTCGTTTCAGGTGAGTTTCGTCTCAACTACAGCTTTGTAATCTTAAAGCTATGACAAAAGCTTGATCTGTTCTCAGGTTTGACCTTTGAATCCGGCGTGAACCTGACTTTTATTTAAGTATTTTGATGTAGCCTACTTCCAACTGAAACTGAATATTGAGAAGTATAACACATATGAACATTTTGCTATTCTCATTTAAAGTTTAACTCTAAATATAAAAGATTAAAGCAGATCTTCGGACAATGTAGTGCATTTATGAACAATCATGCCTTTTTTGCACACTCCCTGAACATTTCTATTTCAATTCCATTTCAGTTCTTTTCATTGTACATAGTGTTTTCAACTTTTCTACATTGTATAGCTATTTTTTATTCATTCATTTTTATTCAGCTTAGTCCCTGATTTGTCAGGAACAGCCACAGTGAAATGAACCCCCAACTTATCCAGCATAACCCTTTTCAGCTGCAGTACTGGGAAACACCCATACACTCTCGCGTTCACACACACTCATACACTACAGCCAAATTAGTTCATCCAATTCACTTACAGTGCATGTTTTGGACTGTGTGGAAAACCAGAGCACCTGGAGGAAACCCACACGAACACTGGGAGAACATGCCGGGACTCGAACCAGCAACCTTCTTGCTTGCTAGCCACCGTGACACCTTTATATTTTTTGTATTTGTTCTTATTTTCTATATCTATATTATCTATATCTTAGCTATTTTATTTCATAATTTGTTTCATATAGATATTTTTAAGGTTGTCGTATAAGCATTTCACTGCATATCGTACACATACCTGTAGGTACTACCTGTAGGTAGGTCGGAGTTTGTGTACTAATAAAATTTGCACAGAAGTAAATGAGTGACAGCTCTCTTAATGGACCATGAAACCCCCAACTTTCAGTTTAAGTCTACCTCTATTTTTTCTTTTTAAAATGCTTCGCGATGGGTGTGGAGTGCTGCGAGCGGAGGGAGGAGGGGGCGTGGCTGGCAGAGCAGGAAAAAAAGACAGGAGTAAACAACTGTTGTCAGTTGGCTAACAAAATGAGACACAAGCCGGGTGAGGAGACGCATTATTTTATAGTTTACAAAGTGCAAATTGCCATTCTCCAATTCTCATACAGCTCTCCCGACAAAAATGCTTGCTGCAAACCAGCAGCTTTGCTGAATCAGTCCTAGCAGCATTGTGGGGAAAAATATGCACCAAACCCCGTGGATCATGGAAACAAATGCATGAATAGCTAAAAAGCGTAGGCGAGGTCTCATAGCTTGGCAGGTCTGCCATGCCTTTGAAAAGCACGAGCAGTCATAAATAATTAAGAAGATGGGTCTTCTCATAGGATAGGAAAACTCCACTATAATAAAATAGAGAAACTGACATGTCATAACTGGACAGGCAGATCGACGCTACATCATTGGTTTCGATCCTGCCCCAAAATGATTTTAAACTTGGAAGATGAAATTAGCTGACAATTAAATTGACCTTAGAGTGAAGTCTTTAAATGAATGTTTATGTAATTTAGCAAAGCTTATTTTGTCATGAATAGAAATGTCAAATGTCAAAGTTTATGTTGTAATAAATAGAAAGATGTTTCCTTAATTATAGAAAAGATGTTTGTACTTGAATGTAGAAATGCAAACAGTACAATTCTGTCCTTTTACAGTAAACAGTAAAAATCTGCTAAATCAGAAAGATTATACGTCTATTTTGTTAATTTAGTACTCAGATATACCTGTTGATGGAATATCTGCTTTAGCATCATATCTAATAATGGAGGATACATTTTTAAACATTTCCAAGTACACTCACCCCAAATGTCATTTATAATTTTTTTCATCACCAAAGTGCTTCATGGATGATTTTATCCTCACTGCTTTCAGTGTGAATGCACAATTAAGTAAAAATCTTAAAATTGCTCATGATTTTAACTCAATTGAAATACTATACTGGAACTCATGTTTGGTGCCTGTGATTTTAATGGCTGTTTCAGTTATTTTGACATTGATGAGTGCTGTTAGAACTCTGAGATAGACATGCCTAAACATTAAACAATAAAAACTTTTGATTATCCAAACCACAAACTGCTTTAGCATCATATCTAATAATGGAGGAGACATTTTTAAACATTTCGAAGTACACTCACCCCAAATGTCATTTACCATTTTTTTCATCACCAAAGTGTTTCATGGATGATTTTATCCCCTCCTCTTTATGGAATTGCTTGCAGGAGGGATATCTATATATAATACAAATGAAGGATCTCCGCTGGTTGAGGAAGAGTCTTCTTTTTGTTTGTGCTTTAATGAGTGGCCATCTGACACTGGAATTTGTTATTTCAGATCTGCATGCAATCAGTCTATCCAGTCTAGCAAAACCACCAAACAAAATGCATACAAATGTGTCCGTGCTTCTGATCTCACAACTCAAAGCAAAAAAAAATTCCTAGCAAAAAACGAGACAAGCCGTTCAATGTGCAGTTGCAGATCAATGCATGTATCCTCAAAGGTTATCTCAAATCTCAAAGCCAACAGTGGAAAATGCAGCTTTCAAACATTTGACTGATTTAATTGGTCAGCAAGATGGATTGCTTTGGTGAATCACCATGTTGTGAAAACCTGTCAATATGAATAGTCATCTGCCAGTTTGTAAAAGATTTGTACTTTTAACAGAATCCATTTAATCTCCTACATGTGAATGTAGGAGTGAAATGTGAATGTGCAGTGAAACTAAAGTCTTTCCGCATACTGTATGATCTTAAAAATAAGTTTTTGGAAGCTTCTTTTTGCCATTTTCACTTGAGATCATAAATGGCCTTGCTCTGAGGAGCATTTTAACAATCTTAAGAACTTGTTTTGCCACTTTAAAGAACTTTTTTTCATTGAACGGATGTTAAAGCTTCTTCATGGATTTACATGCTAATAAAGAACCTTTATTTTATAAATTATTAAAAAAAATTTTTTACTTTGCTTCTGTATTTTAGTACATATTTTAGGTATCTGTATGTTTTTTTTTTTTTTTTTTGGAAACTTTTGCTTTACTATATTCCAAAACAAAATATTGTACTTTTTACTTCACTACCTTTCTTACATTTAGCTGATATTTATTTTGAAACTGAGAAATTGGAGTGAAGAGACAAGATCAGAGCGTTAAATTCTTAAACAAGCTGTTTTTATTTTCAGCTAACCTGTTAAATTGGTTCATAAATTGCACTAAGCTATTGATTGGTGCATTATACTTATATCTGTTAACAAGTCAACAACTCACTGATTCAAATGATCTGTTCAGAGTGAGTCTCCAGTAAACAACTCAATGGTTCAAATTATTTATTCAGAGTGAATCTCTGGTAAACAACTCTCTGGCTGTTTCTCAATTCCAAGAATGCAGAGAACAGACTTGCGTTCTTGTGGAGACCGGTCTTGCCAGGTGTCCTCGGAAGAACAAACTCAGGAGACCGCGGGGGCAGAGAACGCTTCCTTTGAGAAATGAGATGCTGCGTTCTTTCTGATGGTCACATGACCTTCAAGTGTTTTAAATGGTAAATTATTTAAACATTACACCATTCATACAACGATTTATTGTTTTTCCCCTTTTCAAAATATAGACTCTGCATAAAAACATTATAAATATACTCTGCACAATATAAATAAAACAGATTTTACTACGAATTTCAGCAAAGAAACACCCTTAATGTGTTTTTTCCTTTATTAAGATGTTCATGGTAATGTTTACTTTCACCGTTTCATTTAGGGAAACTCCTGAGGCAAATCACTAATTCAGATTGTTTGTTCACTGTGACTCACTGATTTAAATGATTTGTTTATAGTGAGTCTCTAAACAAATCATAGATTCAAATGATTTAATCAGAGTGAGTCTCCAGTAAACAAATCACTGATTTAATTATTTATTCAGAGTGAGTCTCCAGTAAACAAATCACTGATTCAGATTGTTTGTTCAGAGTGAGTCCTCAGTAGATAAGTCATTGATTCAAATAATTAATTCAAACAGAGTCTCTGGTAAACAAATCACTGGTTTTAAATGATTCATTTACAGTGAGTCGCTGGTAAAAAAATAAAATAAAATAATAAATTCACTGATTCAAATAAATATTTCAGTCTCCAGTAAAACATGCTGATTTAATTATCCATTCAGAGTGAGTCTCCAGTAAAAAACTCACTGATTCAAATTATTCATTTTTAGTGTCTCTGGTAAACAAATTACTGATTCAAATAATTAATTCAGAGTCTCCAATAAATAAATCACTGATTTAATGATTCATTCAGAGTGAGCATCTAGTAAGCAACTCACTCATTCAAATGCTCCATTCAGAGTGAGTCTGCAGTAAACAAGTCACTGATTCAAATGATCTGTTCAGAGTGAGTCTCCGATAAACAAATCACTAATTTAATTATTAATTCAGAGTGAGTCTCCAGTAAACAAATCACTGATTCAATGATTATTTCAGAGTGAGTCTCCAGTAAACAACTCACTAAATAAAATGATCTGTTTAGAGAGAATCTCTGGTAAACAAATATCTGATTCAAATGATCCATTCACAACGAGCCTCTGGTATACAAATCACTGATTCAAATGATTTATTCAGAGTGAGTCTCTAGGAAACAAATCACTGATTCACTGATTCTTTCAGAGTGCGTGTCTAGTTAACAAATAACTGATTATATTATTATTTTAGAGTGAGTCCCCAGTAAACAACTAACTGATTCAAATGATTCATTCAGAATGAGTTTCTGTTAAATGAATCATTGAATCCATTCAGATTGAGTCTACTGTAAACAAATCACAGATTTAACGATTAAATCAGAGTTAGTCTCCAATTAATAACTCACTGATTCAAATGATTCATTCAGAGTGGGTCTCCAGGAATCAACTCACTGATTAAAGTGTTCTGTTCAGAATCAGTCTTCATTAGAAGATTCACTCTTTTTGCAAACTGATCGAGTGTGATTGATGTGATTTTACATTTTCACTTGAATTATCATAATATAG